ACCTGAAACCCTAAACCCTAAACCCTAAAGCCTAATCCCTAAACCCTAAATCCGACCGGAAAGGGTACAAGGGCAGGGTGGAGGGCTGTGTGCTGTGCAAATTATCAGTAGGTTTTTGCGAGCATGGCTTCAGCTCGCGCAGACGGACGTCAAGACCGCCACGACCTTTGGGTGGGAACGCCCTTAGGAAATTGATCTTATAGCCAAGTCTCAGGGCTTAGGAACCCTAAACCCTAAAGCCCCTAAACCATAAGCCCACTAAACCCCCTAACCCCTAAACCCCCTATAAACCCTGTAAACCCTGTAAACCCTATAAACCCTATAATCCCTATAAACCCTAAAGACCCTATAAACCCTATAAACCCTATAAACCCTATGACCCCTATAAACCCTATGAACCCTATAAACCCTATGAACCCTCAACCCTAAACCCTATACCCTGTAAACCCCAAACCCGAAGAACTGAGGGTCTCAATCTCTCACCCGGCACAAGCAGGACGAAGCTCATGGGCGTGGGCCGGGACTTGTGGAGAGGGGGCTTGGGGCTTGGGGCTTGGAGCTTGGGGCTTAGGGCTAAAAGGATTTAGGGTTTAGGGTTTGGGGTTGAGAGTTTAGGGGCTTAAAGGGCTTTAAGAGCTTAAAGGGGCTTGGGGTATCTTAGGGTCTAGCACATGAGTGGACTGAACCCGCAAACACCCGCGTGGCGATGGCGATCCTGCCGCAGAAGACGACGACGACTTGCATCGTCCGTGCAGTTCACATGAACTCCACGAAAAACCACCACCTGGAACGATCGTTCCGTGAAACAGGTTTCTGTCATTATGCGTCAGCAAGTTCCGGCGCGTACCGCCTGGGCATCAACAAGTTCAGCGCAGCGAAACAACGTTGTGAATGAACACCAAACAGTTGACCTGGGTTTAGGGTTTAGGGTTTAGGGTTTTGGGTTTAGGGTTTTGGGTTTGTTTAGGGTTTAGGGTGGGATCCACAACCCCACTTTGGAGTAGACCCTGGAAAAAGTATATACTCTTTTAAGTATAAGTAACTAAAATAGGAACCCAGAACAAAAAATAGTAAAGTCCAAAACCCAGACAACCAACAATCATTTTTGGCAGTTTATTCAGAATGGGTAGTTTCCGGTCGTTGCAATTTGAGCCAAGAAGCCTACTACCCCACTCGAGTCGGCTTCTGGCGGTTGGGTTGCAGTTGCAAATACAAGCCACCCTAAACCCTAAACCCTAAATGCTAAACCCTAAACCCTAAACCCTAAACCCTAAACCCTAAACCCTAAACCCTAAACCCTAAACCCTAAACCCTAAACCCTAAACCCTAACCCCTGAACCCTAAACCCTAAACCCTAAACCTTAACTGGGTGAAGCCAGAGGAACCTCGCGACCGCCAAACACACCCCATCCTGCAACCACATGTCATGGGTGTCCCTACAACCCCCGAGGTTCGCACCTAAATTACCCTACTCAGGCTGAACTATGCCTGGGTTTAGGGTTTAGGGTTTAGGGTTTGAGTAGCCTTAACTAGGGGACCTACAACAGTCGGGCCGTTGCTACATGTCCAGTTACAAGTGACTTGCAAGCAGGGCCAAGGTGCATTATAAGCATGCCTAATTTTATGCTAAAGTTATAGATTCAGCTATAGAAGTTAAGGTATATCAACACAAAAAGATAGCCGGACTTAGCCAGAGTTAGCAAAATTAGGATGCTTTCCGTACATTTTTTGATGCCGTGAAACTGAAGAGACAAACAATGCTTTTCTAGAATTTGAAGCTCTTTTGTGTAGTTTACATGTAGAAACAAGGTTCTAGAGAGGAAGAAGACAAAAGAAGGCTTGAAGCAATAGTTCTGGATGTACATGGTGTGTCCAGGCATAGGTACCAGAGAAGCTTGTGTGCACATGCGGTTTCCGCGCTGTTTCTCGTATTGTTGCAGCCACGCACAACCGTGGCTGTAGTGCGGGCAGCGCCGCAAAGTTTTGTTAAAACCTGGTAAAGGGTTTGAGGCAAATCAAGCTGAAACAGCTGCGGACAAGAGCGTTGGAGAGCGGATGCGCGGACACGACGCGCATACATCGTGGACACATGGCCTATATAGAGAGCGCGGACACAGAGGTGTCCACAGAGACGGATGGGGACACCTGGTGTCCACGGCTCTTTTCTAAAAGACATAAGCGGACATATGCGTATCCACCGCCCAGAGCATGAGTTCAGGGTAGGGTTTATGGTTTAGGGTTTAGGGTTCCTAACTCTGCGTCTGTGAGTCATCTGTGCGCCCCCCCCCCCCCCCCCCCCCCCTTGCGCCTCGCGCCCCGAAACCCGCCGCTCCACAAGGCGAGCTAAGCGGTAGTTCAGAAACAAGCAACCCTGACCACGAGAGAGAAAACCGCGACGGATTTGGGGTTGAGTTTTTTGGTGTTTAGATGTACGGTGAACCTGAAACCTGAACTCTTCAAAAGCAGGAGCCGGGTTTCAGGTTGAGGGTTTACAAGGTGTAGGGTTTAGGCAAAATCCGAAACCTGAAGTCCTCTTTCAAAAGCAGGAATCCCAAACCATAAGCCAGGCAGAAAACATCACAAAACCAATGTCTCCGCATGTCTCCGCATGTCTCCGCATGTATCCACGGTCTCTGCCGTCCCAGCCCCCCCCCCCCCCCCTACCTCCCCAAACGCTGCGGATACGCGTGTGTCCACAGAAGAGCTCACCAAGGAATGAGCTGTTGTGTTCTTTACTCTCCTCTACACAGCCATTTTCGTATACGCCCGTTCTGATGGCCATTGCATCGCTGACCCTGGACCCCTAGGCGTGCGGGTTTAGGGTTTAGGGTTTAGAGTTTAGGGTTTAGGGTTTAGGAGTTAGGCTTCAGGGCTGAGGGTTGCTTGGCTTGAAGATGCTGATTCTTGTGTGTCTTCTAAGTGACTCCATGAGCTTAGGCTGTCACCCTGATAGTATAGCAGTTGCGCACACCGTAGAACTGGCATTCCAGCATTCCCTGTACCGAAGCCTTCACTGAAGACGGGAAAGGACACCCTGAGCACTAATCAGGATTCTTGTTAAGGAGCTGTTTAGGGCTTGCCCTGAACCCCAAACCCTGAGCCCTGAACCCCCTTTCGGAACTGTCTAGGGTTCTAAGTTTAGGACTTAGGGTTAATGCAACCTTATACATTGTACTATAAACCCTAGTTTACAACAGCTCGCCTTCAACTCAATAACAGAAAACAAAACAAAACAACCTAGACTCGCCTTCGCGTTGGGTTGGCCATTTCTTTGCGTAACCTGCGGCTGGGCATTTAAATAACAAAATAAGTAACCAAAACAGCTGACACTCATAGAGCTCCAACCCCAAACCCTAAACCTCATCCTCGTATTCTTTCCACAAGTGGCAACGCTTCCGGATTGGTCTAAACCCTAAACCCTAAACCCTAAACCCTAAACCCTAAACCCTAAACCTAAACACTAGACCCCAGACCTGAAACCCTAAGCCCTAATGCCGAAACCCCACCCAAGCCCCTAAACCATCGACCAAGGTAGCTTAAGGCGAATGACCCAGAAGCGACCATAGCACTTTGGGCTTGGAGTTCAGGGTTTAGGGTTTAGGGTTTAGGGTTTAAGGTTTAGGGTTTAAGGTTTAGGGTTTAGGGCTGTAGGGTGTAGGTTTTGAAGCGCTATGCGCGTTGGGCTCCGGTGCCGATCTCGCTTGCATGGGGTCTCTAAGGCTCAGGCTTTAGGTGCTTCAGGTTTTTCAATTGACCCTAAACCCTAAACCCGAAACCCTAAACCCTAAACCCTAAACCCAGAAGAGCTCACCAAGGAACGAGCAGCATGTTGCTTGGGATTGCGCAATGGCACCAAGCCCAAGGCAGGTGTCTGATGCAGGGTTTAGGGTTTAGGGTTTAGGGTTTAGGGTTTAGGGTTTAGGGTATGTCTTACAGAAAAGATTGGGCTGGCCGTCGGGCTTGAAAAACAGGAGGCAACTGGATACGGGAATCCTTGCGTGGCTTGCGAAAGTCAGGGAGGATTGCTTGGTGTCTAGGAGGCAGGCGTCTGCCTGACGTGCTGATGCTCATGTTGGGGGCTGCCTCGAGGTGCCTGCTGGTTTTTCCTCGCGTTTGCTCCTTTCCTCTCCTCTTGGGGCCTCGTGTTCGGAGGCGGGGGGTTGGAGGGGTGACCCTTTTTGCGTTTTCACCACTCGCCGTAGGCGGTAGGTGGTGTAGTGTTTCATGATATCCGCATTTGTTGCCTCGACCTGCTCAGGCCACGGTGCAGAGCAGCTAAGGACATTTGCGGTCTTTCTTTCTTTGGCTTGGGCGGTGTTTTTCGCCCGTCTTTCGGTTGATCCCGTTCTCCGAGATCGGCGTCTTCCGAGTTCTACATTTCCCCCCTTTTGTGTTCTTTACTCTCCTCTACACAGCCGTTTTCGTATACGCCCATTCTGATGGCCATTGCATCGCTGACCATGGGCCCCTAGACATGCGGGTTAGGTTTAGGGTTTAGGGTCTAGGGTCTAGGGTCTAGGGTCTAGGGTCTAGGGTTTAGGGTTTAGGGTTCAGGGTTTGGGGTTTGGGGTTTGGGGTTTAGGGTTCAGGGTTAACGGTTTAGGGTTTAGGAGTTAGGCTTCAGGGCTGAGGGTTGCTTGGCTTGAAGATGCTGAGTGTGTCTTCTAAGTGACTCCCTGAGCTTAGGCTGTCACCCTGATAGTATAGCAGTTGCGCACACCGTAGAACTGGCATTCCAGCATTCCCTGTACCGAAGCCTTCACTGAAGACGGGAAAGGACACCCTGAGCACTAATCAGGATTCTTGTTAAGGAGCTGTTTAGGGCTTGCCCTGAACCCCAAACCCTGAGCCCTGAACCCCTTTTCGGAATTGTCTAGGGTTCTAAGTTTAGGGCTTAGGGTTAACGCAACCTTATACATTGTACTTTAACACCTAGTTTACAACAGCTCGCCTTGCACTCAATAACAGAAAGCAAAACAAAAACAACAACTTAAACTCGCCTTCGCGTTGGATTCGGGTTGGCACCTTCTCTGCGTAACCTGCAGCTGGGCATTTAAATAACAAGAACAGCTGACACTCATAGAGTTCCAACCCAAAACCCTAAACCCTCATCCTCGCATTCTTTCCAAAAGTGGCAACGCTTCCGGATTGGTCCACAATGACAGCTCGCCTAAACCCTAAACCCTAAACCCTAAACCCTGAACCCTAAACCCCCAAACCCTAAACCCTAAACCCTAAACCCTAAACCCTAAACCCTAAACCCTAAACCCTAAACCCTAAACCCTAAACCCTAAACCCTAAACCCTAAACCCTAAACCCTACACCCTACACCCTAAACCCTAAACAGCAATGCCGCCCTGCAGCTTCACTACTATCCTCGTCCACGCCAATAGAATCGAAACCATCGGAACGAGCTGTCTCCACGTAGTTCGTGAAGGTGAGCCTTGTAGCGGTTTAGGGTTTAGGGTTTAGGGTTTAGGGTTCAGGGTTTAGGGTTTAGGGTTTAGGGTTTAGGGTTGAGGGTTGAGGGGTTTAGGGTTTAGGGTCTAGGGTTTAGTTAGGGTTAAGGGCTTAGGGTCTATAGGGTTTAGGGTTTAGGGCTTAGGGTTTCTGACCTGTTGGGACTGCTACACCAAAGCTGCGGGAAGGGGGGGAGGCCAGTGTCAAAGCACACACAGAACTCGCATGGTTTTCTGCTTTCTGATTGGGATTCCAGGAACCCGCACGCCTCAACCCCAAACCTCACTAGAAGCAAAACCCTCTTGTCAAACCAAGTCTCGGATGCTTTTGCACCTGCTGGCAGATCGGCTGTTTAGGAAGGGCTCATTGGATTTAGGGGTTTAGGGTTTAGGGTTGAAGGGGTTCAGCATGCGCATCAACGAAAATGACGCCGTTAATGTTGCGGGGCGGCCCCCGAAAAAGACACCCGCAGCAAAAAAGCTAAACCACCTAGTCCGGACTCAACAGGGCATGCAACGAGAAGGCCCTCCCGAACGCATTTAGTAGATGGAGATCAAGATGTTCCTGTCTGTGGAGTGTTCTTAGGGGACCGGAAGTCCTAAACCCTAAACATTACCCTAAACCCGGAACCCTAAACCCTAAACCCTAAACCCTAAACCCTAAACCCTAAACCCTAAACCCTAAACCCTAAACCCTAAACCCTAAACCCTAAACCCTAAACCCTAAACCCTAAACCCTAAACCCTAAACCTTCGAGCCGCCCCACCTTCCTCAAAAACCGGTTCAAGTCCTTCACGTAGGCATCGTGGAGTTGACGATCTGGTTGGAGAACCATTCCTTCATTATAGGCTTCCTAAGTTTCAGGTTTAGGGTTTAGGGTTGAGGATTTAGGGTGGTTGGAGAATATTCCTTCAGGGACGGGGCCATCCACTGCCCAAGTCGGGACATCCATCTCAGCCGGTTTAGGGCCTAATCCGAGCACCTGTTTAATCAAACCCCCCACATTTAAAGAGTTTTTTTTCGGCCGGAAGCCCGCTGGAAGACTACTTTCCATTAGGGTGGATTTCGTATGGGGATACCCCCCCCCCCCCCCCCAACATTTAAAGGAATTTTTTGGGAGGCGTTTTGCTTGCGGAGATGCGAAGCTACAGCCCTCAAGGATCTGCAGCCTATTGTTTTTAATAGAGAATCAATACAGGGCCATGGTCCAACTATTGCGGAACCCTGCATTCCTTATTTGGGGGGGGGGGGGGGGCCCCCCTCAATTAAACAGGAGCTCGGATTAGGGCTTACTTAGGGTGGTTTAAGGTTTTGAGTTTAGGGTTCAAGGTTCAGGGCTTAGAGGGTTCAAAGCTTTTTTGTTTTTAAGGTGGTTTAAGGTTTTGAGTTTAGGGTTCAAGGTTCAGGGCTTAGAGGGTTCAAAGTTATTTTGGGTTTCAGGATTTTCGGTTCACGCCGAACGTCCTTCCGGGACCACCTTAGGCAACTTCCGCATGTGAAACGAAGACGTCCGCTTCGGTGGTGTACTCTTGCTGCAACCTGGGCAATCCAAAAGACGAACCACGAAATTGAGGGACCCATGTAATCAAGTGCGGTATGTATTGAGTGTAGCGAACTACAATACTTCGACTGATACCTACGACAATGATTACGACTACTACTACTACTACTACCACTACAACAACAACAACTACTACTACTACCACTACTACTACTACTACTACTACTACCACTACTACTACCACAACAACAACAACTACTACTACTACTACTACTACTACTACTACTACCACTACTACCACTACTACCACTACTACCACTACTACCACTACCACTACCACTCCACTAGTACCACTAGTACTACCACTAGTACTACTAGTACTACTAGTACTACTAGTACTACTAGTACTACTAGTACTACTAGTACTACGAGTACTACTAGTACTACTAGTACTACTAGTACTACTAGTACTACTAGTACTACTAGTACTACTGCTAGTACTACTACTACTACTACTACTACTACTACTACTACTACTACTACTACTACTACTACTACTACTAGTACTAGGGGTATTGCGCGTATTTGACGCTGTGTCATCCTTCATTTTCCATGTCTGCCCATGTTCTTCCAGAGACGAAAACACTGCTATTTGCAGTGTTTTCTGCTCATGCATTGAATGCTCTGCCACACTCCGCCAATTCCCAACGGCGACGCCCATGAGGGCCTTTCGATTTTTTGTGAGGGTCTTCGGTTTCCCATGAGGGCCTTTGATTTCCCATGAGGGCCTTGCCCCAATAATTTGTGATTAAAATTGGCTTTGGCTTGGCTTGGCTTGGGGGGGTGGGGGGGGCTTGGGGCTGGGGGGGGGGGTTACCTGGGGTTTTGGGTTTAAGGCTATAGGATTCAAGCTTCGGGATTTCTGGTTTTCGGTTTCAGGGTAGACGAGTTTTGAGCTTGCACTTGAAGCTTCGGGGTTTGGGGTTTAGGGCTTAAGGGTACACGGCTTTTGGGCCTCCACTTGAAGCTTCGGGGTTTAGGGTTTAAGGGTCCAGGAAATTTGGGCTTCCACTTGAAGCTTCGGGTTTTGGGTTTTAGGCCTTAAGGGTACCGGAGTTTTGGACTTGCACTTGAAGCTTCGGGGTTTGGGGTTTAGGGCTTCAGGGTCCAGGAATTTTGGGCCTCCACTTCAAGCTTCGGGGTTTGGGGTTTAGGGTCCAGGAAATTTGGGCTTCCACTTGAAGCTTCGGGGTTTGGGGTTTAGGGCTTCAGGGTCCAGGAATTTTGGGCCTCCACTTGAAGCTTCGGGGTTTGGGGGTTAGGGCTTAAGGGTCCAGGAATTTTGGGCCTCCACTTGAAGCTTCGGGGTTTGGGGGTTAGGGCTTATATAAGGGTCCAGGAATTTTGTGCCTCCACTTCAAGCTTCGGGGTTTGGGGTTTCGAGCTTAAGGGTACACGGCTTTTGGCCCTTCACTTCAATTTGGAGGTTTGGGGGCGTCCCTCATTTTCAACGCTGCTTCTCCCCGTGCAACTTTCATGGTCTTTGTCTGGCACTCATTTTGGAGTCACCGACTTCTTCACGCCCCCTGAGAGCAAAGCCTAGTGCAGAGACCCTTGTGCACGCATAGACTACTTCTTGAAACATGTACCGTTCCTCGGCTCAAGGCCTTGCTCCTCGGCTCAAAGCTGCACGGAAAGATATCCACTCCGCCTTTGTCTCTGGGCTGCTTCGGCATGGCTTTCCTTTCGCATTCGAGCATGGAAACAAGCGAAGACAAGTCCGAGATTGCAGCCTTGACCTTACAAGACAGGAAACTCCTGTAATTGGCGTCGTCGTTGGGAAATGAGCACTCTGCCCAAGAACGCTGCTTTTACCGATGGAAAAGGCACTTCGGACGCAGACGGACGCGGCGTCAAATACGCGCGGAGCGCGTACTACTACTACTACTACTACTACTACTACTACTACTACTACTACTACTACTACTACTACTACTACTACTACTACTACTGCTACTGCTACTGCTACTGCTACTGCTACTGCTACTGCTACTGCTGCTGCTGCTGCTGCTGCTGCTGCTGCTACTGCTACTGCTACTGCTACTGCTACTGCTACTACTACTGCTCCTACCACTACGACTACTACGACTACTACTACCACTCCTACTACTACTCCCACCACTACGACTACGACTACTACTACTACTACTACTACCACTACTACTACCACTACTACTAGTCCTACTACTACTACTACTACTACTACTACTACTACTACTATTAACGACAACTAGTACTACTACTACTACTACTACTGCTACTACTGCAGCTACTACTACTACTACTACTACTACTACTACTACTGCTACTACTGCTACTACTACTATTACTACGACTACTACGACGACGACTACCACTACTGGTACTACTACTACTACTACTACTACTACTACTCTTACTACTTCTACTACTACTACTACTACTGCTACTACCACTACTACTACTTCTACTACTGCTACTGGTACTGCTAGTGCTAGTGCTAGTGCTAGTGCTAGTGCTACTACTACTACTACTACTACTACTACTACGACTACGACTACGACTACGACTACGACTACGACTACGACTACGACTACGACTACTACTACTACTACTACTACTACTGCTAGCTACTGCTACTGCTACTGCTACTGCTACTGCTACTACTACTACTACTACTACTACTACTACTACGACTACTACTACGACTACGACTACGACTTCGACTACGACTACTACTACTACTACTACTACTACTACTACTACTGACAACTAGTACTCCTACTACTACTACCGCGACTACTGCGACGACGACTAGCACTACTGGTACTACTACTCTTACTACGTCTACTGCTACTACTACTACTACTACTACTACTACTACTCCTACTGCTACTGCTGCTGCTGCTACTGCTACCGCTACTGCTACCACTGCTGCTACGACGACGACGACAACGACGACGACGGCGACGACGACGACGACTACTACTACTACTACTATGATGACTGGTGTGAGTACTTTCTTTGACTACTCGCATTAGCAAGGTAAGGCTGTGGAGACTAGCATGGTTGGCTTGATAAAAAAAATATCTGAAGGGATTGCCTACACACTACTCTTCCTATTCCTATTTCTTTCGCTTTCACGAGAACTGCTATGTTAGGAATGTGCAGGCAGTACGCGGAGCTGATACTGATAAGTACCTAGGCTCCCGTGTCAGTCTTGGAGTACTACAGCTGGTTAGAGTTTAAGGTTTAGGGCGCTTTTGGGGCTTCAGGGTTCACAAAGTCCTGCATCACTGCTGAATGATACCGAGGAGCAACTTCCTCCGCAACCCATACTGAATGTGCAAAAGACGTCGAACTGCGCAAAGACCTGGCCTCAACCGACCGAGCGTCTGAGCCAAACGTCTGAGGAAGCACGCTTCTCCAAAAATCGTGGCTGCACGCCGGTTGCAACAGCATCTTCTCAAACGCACTCAACACACCACACCATGCCTTTCAGCTCATGAAGTCTCAGCTAGGGCTCTGTTCCCGATACACCCGGGTTCTTCTTGCTAAAACACTCATGTTACAACAACGGTTGTAGAGCAAACCATGTGGCGCCCAAATCGTGGTAACTTACAATTTGTTCCTCAACTACAGCAAACACCCTAAACCACTAATCCTGATCCATAACACCACAGGCACAAAAAAAAACACGGCATGTTCCAAAAACCTCCTGAAGCCTAAGTCCTTAATCCCTAAACCCGAAACCCTAAACCCTAAACCCTTAGACTTAGAAGGGGTGGTGGTGAACGACTTTGGGGAAAACCCTCAATCCCTCAAACCCTGAAACGCCCTCCACCCGAAACAATCAAAAACCTAAACCCCAAACCCGAAACCCGAAACGCTTAACCCGGAACCCTAAACCCTAAACCCTACTTACAACAAACTGGTGGGTTGAAAGGGCGCAGGCCCCCATAAATCCTTAAATCCACCCTCAAACATACACCTAAGCTTATCTAGCCGTACTCTAAACCCTAAACCCTAAACCCTAAACCTTAAACCCTAAACCCTAGACCCTAAAGCCTAAAGCCTAAAGCCTAAAGCCTAAAGCCTAAAGCCTAAAGCCTACAGCCTATAGCCTATAAACCCTAAACCCTAAACCCTGAACCTTAAACGGCCTCTTGATCGGCAGCTGAATATCGCCAATGGGCCTCCCCAGTTTCTCAAGCTGGACGGTTTAGGGCTGTGTAGTGTTTAGGGTTTAGGGTTTTATGGTTTAGGGTCTAGGGTTTATAGAATTGTGTAGTTTGTGTTCGGAGTTTTGCCAGGTTTGGGGAGGTTTTGCGGGTTTTGGGGGGGTTTTGTTTCTTGGTTTTGCTCCAGAGGTTTTTTCTTTGAAGGATGCAGGATTATTGTACGAGCTGCTCGTAATGAAACATACAACTTCTATTTATCATGGGCTTGAGGGTTTAGGGTTTAGAGCTTAGCGTTTAGGAGGGTGTCGGGACATACGGTTTCACGGTTTGGGGGGATCAGGATGTCAGGGCGGAGCATTAGGATTTTAGGGACTTGGGGTTGTAGGGATTAGAGTTTAGGGGTCTAGGGTTTAAGGGTTTGGGGTTGCTGGGGCTTTAAGTAGCCCTAAGGGTCCATGTACCTAAAAAACGGTATATGCTTGCTCGAACTGCAGCCCCCAGGACTTTTCACAAACTCCGGTTAGGGTTTGGGCTTAGACCCTAAACCCTAATTAAAGCCAGGAAAGCCAGGATCCGAAGGATAGGGAGCTTAGGGAGGAGAATTCTCCTCCCAATAATCCACCCCCCCCCCCCCCCCCCCCCAAGTGCCCAAACGCTTCAATCTTGCACAAAGGCAACCATGAACAAGCCTCGACCCCACGATCTCAAGCCTCAACCCGTGCTTTAGGGTTTAGGGTCTAGAGCTTAGGGTTTAGGGGTTAGGACGGCTAGGACAGCCTAACATCGAACCCAACACGCCTCGCAACGAGTGGAAAGCTCCACCAGCAGCTGGCGGCCGTCAGGTGCATCAAACCAAACCTTTTGCGGCCCGAAACCCTAAACCCTAAACCCTAACTCCTAGACCTCTCCTACCATATAATTAGTATAAACCTTAATGGTATTCGTGGGCAAGGCCCATTTTGCGGTTGTGAGCCTTGGGCCGCCGGGCCTATGCCCGCGAATCAGGCCCACGAATTTTACACCCTATGCCCACGAATTTTAGGGCCTTTGGCTCGTGGGCAAGGCCCAAGAATTCGCAGGCATAGGGGGCTTCGTGTTCGTGGGCATGGGCACGGCTTCGTGGACACAGGCCCGGGGCTTCGAGGGCATAGGCCCAAGGATTCGTGGGCATAGGCCCGGCCTTGAGCCCCTAAACCCTTGAGACCCTGAACCCTTGAGACCCTAAACCCTTGCGACCCTGAACCCTTGAGACCCTAAACCCTTGAGACCCAAAACCCTTGAGAGCCTAAACCCTTGAAACCCTAAACCCTTGAGTCCCTAAACCCTTGAGACCCTAAACCCATGAAAGCCTAAACCCTTGAGACCCTAAACCCTTGAGACCCTAAACCCTTGAGACTCTAAACCCTCGAGACCCTAAACCTTGCGAACCCTATTATTTTTGTTGAGCTCTTGAACCCTAAGCCCTAAACCCTAAACCCTAAACCCTAAACCCTGGAGGTGCTCCAGGGTTTCTTAAGGGCCAATACCCAAAAAGAGAGACTCAAGGGTTGAGGGGTTTGTGGACTTAGCAGGGCTGCTTTCTTCATGGGTTCCCCTACTACCCCCGAGTTTCCCCCGATAGTTAAGGCCATTTAGGAAGAACTAAGCCTAGTTATAAGGCTATGTAAGGGCGCAACCTAGGGGGGGGGGGGGGGGGGGGGGGGGGGGGGGAGGGGGGGGGTAGCCCTAAACCCTAAATCCTAAACCCTAAGCCCTAAAGTGGTCAGGGTTTAGGGTTTAGGGTTTAGGGTTTAGGGTTTAGGGTTTAGGGTTTAGGGTTTAGGGTTTAGGGTAGAAGGAAGCCGGGGGTAGCAGGGAAACCCACGCTTTCCAGCGGAAACCCTCACAGCGCGCAGGCGGTGGTCGCGCGTAGAAGCGGTGCAGCGCGGGCCGGGTTGAGGGCTTAGGGGCCTTTAGGGATTTAGGGATTTCGGGATTTAGGGACTTAGGGATTTAGGGAGTTAGGGAGTTAGGGATTTCGGGACTCAGGGATTTAGGGATTTCGGGATTAGAGAGTTAGGGATTTAGGGAGTTAGGGATGTAGGGATTGGGATTTAGGGAGTCAGGGATTTAGGGATTTAGGGGTTAGAAGGGCTTCGAGTCAGGGCCGAGGGTTTGCCCCTCCCCCCCCTTAACCCCGAAGAAGGGACCCTTAATCCTACCCGACATAACTTTGGATGTTTCCCCCTTATACTAACAGTCATTCAAGGACTCATTATGATGGGGGTGGGGGGTACTGTGGGACTGTCAGTTTAAGGGCAACATCCGAACACATAACTCTTGCATACCTTTCAAGGGTCTACGTGAGTATCCTCTGAGGGGGTACTAGTGGTAGCGGTAGCGGTGGCGGTAGCGGTGGCGGTAGCGGTAGCGGTAGTCGTCGTCGCCGTCGTAGTCGTAGTCGTAGTCGTAGTCGTAGTAGTAGTAGCAGTAGTAGTAGTAGTAGTAGTAGTGGTGGTGGTAGTGGTAGTGGTAGTCGTAGTAGTCGTAGTAGTAGTCGTAGTAGTAGTCGTCGTAGTAGTAGTAGTAGTAGTAGTATTACTACTAGCAGTAGTACCAGTATTAGCAGTAGTAGTAGTACCAGTATTAGCAGCAGTAGTAGTAGTAGTAGTAGTAGTAGTAGTAGTAGTAGTAGTAGTAGTAGTAGTAGTAGTAGTAGTGGCAGCAGCAGCAGCAGCAGCAGGAGTAGTAGTAGTAGTAGTAGTAGTAGTAGTAGTAGTAGTAGTAGTAGTAGTGTTGTAGTAGTACGAACAATAATATTACCAGCAGTACTAGTACTACTACTAGCAGGACTAGCATTGAAACTTTAATGGTTAATTAATGGACAAGACCTCACAAACGCCACATGCACGTAGGATAGTCCCAATACTCCTAAGAAAGGCCCCAAAAAATTCGAACCTAGTCCCCGAAGTCCCTCCCCCATCCCTGTCATCCCTGAACCAGTGCTTCCCAGACACAGCGTCTGCCATCTCCTGCTCAGGCGACAGCTCTTCCCTCTCGTCTTCTTCCTGCACCAAAGAGACACTTTGAGGGTTTAGGATGTGCAAGGGTTGAGGGCTCGCAACCATCAACCCTAAATAACTCAAACCCTAAAACCCTAAACGCTCAAACCCTACAACCCTTCTTTCAGCTATCAGCCCAGACGGCTTCGGGCGTATTCTCCAAACGATCAGTGCGGATGGACGTAGCATGTTCAATAACGGTTTAGGGTTCAGGGTTTAGGGTTAAAGGGCTTCGGGTTGTGTAGGGTTTAGGGATCAGGGATGAGAGGTTCGGGTTGATCGGGTTTAGGGGTTTTAGGGGTTTGAGGGTTGAGCCTTGTAAGTGCGAAAAAAGAAGCTGCGGATGCTGTGTGAATTGGGGTTGGAGCTTAGGCTTTAGGAGCAGCCAGCCGACAACGTTTAGGAAGTGTGCAATTAGGAGCAGTTACTTGCCGCTGCCGTTCTCGCGGTGCTCTGTGCCTGCGGCATTTTCTGGTGGCATACAACATTTTTCAGCATGCTCCAACTCAAGTTTGTGTGTATTGTTGGGTGTCCACCTCTGCGCACGTACATGCTCAAGACTCCTGTCCTAGGGAGCCCCAGGAAACACACGCCAGAACACAGAACATGCACTTGTCGACAATGGCTTGCCTTCAACCGGAAACCCTATACCCTATTCGCCAAACCCCAAACCCCAAACCCCAAGCCCTATACCCCAAACCCGGAACCCCAACACCAAACCCCAAACCCTGAACCCAAACCCTAAACCCCAAACCCCAAACCCCAAACCCTAAACCCCCAACCCCAAACCCCAAGACCTGAACCCCAAACCCTGAAACCTAGCCCCTCCTCTACCAGTTCTGGCGGAGCGAAGAACTCCGCCCCCCTCGGCAAGTCCTTCGGACTCGGTGGTGTGGAATTAAGGCTTAGGGTTTAGGGTTTAGGGTTTAGGGTTTCGGGTTTAGGGTTTAGGGTTTCGGGTTTTAGGGTTTAGGGTTTGAGGTTTTGGGGTTTTAGGTTTTGGGGATGTAGCCCTTTAAGGGTTCCAGGGTTTGAGGCTTCAAGGGTTGACAGGCTAAGGGGTGAATCGAAGGGTTTATGGTTTAAGGAGAGGGCTCAGGATTTAGGGGATCTTC